ACTCCAGGAGACGGAATGTCCAGTACAGTCCTTACACTAAAGCCAAGATTAATTTGGGTATTAATTTGTGGGGTGCTGAAGAAAGCAAGAAGAACCTAACAAATGGTCCCCATGTAGAAATTAGGTGCTGATTAGAGAAGTGTACAAAAAATGGGGAAACTGCCTCCCTTACTCCTGGTGTTCTAAGAACATCTCGAATGCAGAATTTCTGAAACAAGATTTCTATCCTTGCCGTCTACACCTGAGATTTAATCCATCCAAAAAAAAGCATTTGAGCTGTCTTGTTGTGTTGTTGGTGCTCTCTTCTGAACAGCACTATGCTGTGTGTCAGAGCAACTATCCTATGTCCTTCTCGACATGGAGAGGTAGGGAGGCAGGTCTTGAGGAGGTGTAAATTGCCACAGCTCCCTTGAAGTCAAGAGAAAATGAATTGTTGATTATCTGCACTAAGACTGTTCTTTGGGAATCCTGCAATATGGGGAAAGTGGAAACCTACTGGAGAGCTGAGCTAACACTTTCAACAATAAAACTTTGTCTTCAAGAAAGAGAAAATGTTTGGCGTGGTTGAGCCTTTCCGCCCTCACCAAATGAAAACCACTGTAGCAAATGATGACTAGGAAAGGAGGAAGAGGCAAAGGCCCTGGGTGTGTGTTGTAGCAAACTCAGCTGCTCCTGGTACCGTTTCCTCGCAGCGGTGGCTGCGCCCGGCTCTCGTCCACAGCACCAGTCTGGGCTGCAGCGAGCACTGAGGCTGTTGCCACGGCCAGTCAGATAGCCTCCTAGCTCAGTTTGAGGAATCTGCTTAATCTGGAACAATTAGAGACCAGCTTTGCTGCTGTGGTGAGGCAGAGGTGCATTACAGAAACATCTGTGGCACCACCTTATTTTGTCTGTTATTTAAACACTGGGTAGGTGAGCTGGTAGTCCTTTTTTTCTCCCAATGATGATAGAGTGAAGTGAGGTTATAATAAAAACCTATAAACTGGAAAACCTTTTAACGCGTTTAAGCTTTAGAGATTGTGATTGCACATTATCTCCTGCAGCTGTTGTAAAAGCTATTGACTACTTAGCTGATTACCCTCAATTGTAATGTATTAATCTTTAGGGATATTTTCACACTTAATGAACTTTATTAGTCAGGAATTTTACCTCTCCTCTTTTCCCTTCTTGGTTAGCTGTAGTCAAGAATAACAGCTATTAGGCTGGGAACTTGAAGACCGAGATATATGGAACTGAATAGCTGGAATCAGTACAATTATTCCAATATTTGGGATTTAGTCTTACGTATGGGATATCTTCTGGAACGTGTATGTTGTTTTACAGTCAGTCTAGTTTATAGATATAATTTTCTAGATCAATATTTCTGCTTCTTAAACTACTTTTTAAGAACTTTTAGAGAAGCTTTTTGAAACGGGAGAAAAGCTGATTGCATTTTGGGTGCAGAGAAGGCACAAGCAGACATTATGTTTCCACTTCTAAATAACTAAAATGCATTTCACTGTGTCAGTATTAGAATCTGAGCTCTTAACTGAAATCACAAATTAGTACTAAGACTCACTAAAAGGTTTAGGTCAAGCTGAAAGCACTGTCACCTCTCACAGCTGGAGACTGCGAAGCAAACAACACTTTAAGGATGTGTGCTGTCGTTAGGGTAGTGTTAATGTCATGCTTATGCTTCCAAAGTAAGCAGTATATAAAAACAGTGAAGCCTTAGTACTTTGCTCAAATGCCATCTGACAGTCCTCAGGGTCAAACGTGTATATTTTCAGATAAAATTAATGGAATGGCTTTTGTTAATGACAAGGCATACAGCATTGTGAGGTCCTTCCCAAAAAGTCCAGGTCAAGGCTGGCAGAGATGGTGGCCAGAATTCAGACATGGCTGTGTCCCTGTCCTGCTCTCACTGTGTGTGTCTGTCCTGTAGGTCGTTCTGCTCCGTTAAACGGTTGCTGACAGGAAGCCTGAAAATGGACCATGGCTCTAGGTGTTTATTAACAGACCTTTGAAATGTTCTCGGTGTAAGTTAACCCCAGTGGGATCTCACAGGTAATAACCGACACAAGAGGACTTTCTATGGAAGAGCTGTGCATGTCAAGTGGCTCATTAAAACTTGTTATTTCATGTTTTAAAACTCCTTGTATTGCTAGTATGGAGAGTGAACGTGTTTATATTGAAGGTTGTGCAGAGTGAAGTGAGCTGATTCAGTGACAATCTGTTTGATAATGGCCCATTTCTCAATCTGTTGCTGCTTTTTATCAAAAGTTTTGGCAGGTGCTCAGTGTGATCACACTGAAAGGGCTCAATCAAACAGTGCAAGTGAATTGTGGGGTGCTGGTCTCTCGAGTCTGCGGCACTGTTGTTAGCAGTGCAGAGGCTCATAGCACTACCTGGAATCTGAGAACTGCTGGGGTTTTTTCCTTCTTTTTTTTTCTCATTGTAGTGAAAGCCTTTGTGTGTGTCTAGGAATGTCTGATGCTCCGGTCCCGTGGAGCAGCTAGAGCCAGGCATCTCCCTGCAGCAAGGGAGAACTACCTTTCCACTAGAACACTTTGAGTAGCTTTCCTTCAAAATGCTACTCACTGAGAGAGCAGGTGACTTGCAGAGATGAAGTGTGATATCAGTATTAAAGATTTTTGTCACTCAAATGCTTTCTCACATAGTTTGCACATATTTATGTGAGCTTTCCCTTAATTTCTCCCATTCATAATAGTTGCAGGAATGTTCCTGCAAGCAAAACAAGGCATTTAGTATCCAGCTCAACTGTTCTTTGGGGTTAATCTCCATGTTCCTTTCATGCTAGGAGTAGTGAGGATTCTGTGTTGAGATCATTTTACTGGTAACAAGACTGTTGTGGCAGATAGGATGGATTTAGGACTTTACATATACAAGGAGTAAAAAGTACATGTTTTCAGCTTTTCCCCCCACCTTTTCCTATGTATGGTAAATATATGATGGACTACTAAAAAAACCCCAAAAGTGCTATTTAAGAACAACTGAATCACCAGGTGAGCCTCTGAATGCAGAAACCCTGTCACCTCATCATGGCATCTCACATCCTGAAATAATGTGGCTTTGAGCTAGGCAGGGGTTTGTATATGTGTCTGACTTGTATCAAATGTAAGTTAAGGCTTTAAGTAAATTCATATTCTTAATTTTTCCTTGTGCCTTTGAAGCAATGTTGCTGTAGGCCAGTTGTTTGAAAGAAGGAACTGAATTAGCTTGGAAGGTTTATCCATCCCTGTTAATTATCTCCTGTTTTGCAGTTGCAGGAAGCACACTCTGCTGCGGCACAGCGCAGCAATCTAAACCTTTGTCTAAAGCTTGCTAAGTTTTGACCAGACAGCTTTTGAGAGTTTATTTTAGAAAATGTGTCTTTTGGTACCTTTTGTGTGGTCGATGAAGTCGCTAGTGTGGGTGTCCAGCCATGCAGCAGGAAGCTTTTTGAGGTTCAAGCTTCAAGTGTGATGAGTTCCAGCACCAACCATACCAGCAGAACTGCTGTGCTAGGAAGTGAACCGTTTTGCATGGCAAAAGTGAGATGCAGGGAAGAAGTATTAAGCTCCCAGTTCTTGCTGCAGCACGAGTTTCAGTTTCATGCTGAGGAAAAGCTGCAGCTCTTGACCTGAGGCATACTGAGCAGCACCATCTTCAATAATCCTTGAAACAAGTAATAATTCATTTGTGCTTCTCACCTGATAGCAAAGAAACCTGACTATCAGTCTTGGTATGGAAATAAGAGCAACTCTACCTGGGCATTCTGTGTTCGTGCAGCACAGGTGCCAGCTGTCTCGGGACCCGTCCAGCTGAGCTGTGTGGGTGCTCCCCCACTGCTGGCAGAGAAGAGGTGTGCTTCATTTGGTCTGTTTAGGGTTTTTTTTAGAAAAAAAAAAAAGCCAAGCTCTGTAGCTAGTCATCTCCACTAAGGAGCGCAGCGCAGCAGTGGCTACCCATCCTGTGAGCACTTTATTCACTCCAATGGCCTGGCAGAATTTACAGGCGAAATATCTTAAACTTAGACCTTGGTGATGACTGAAGTAGCTTGTTTTGCAGGCTGGATCCCCACTTCCCAAGAAGAGGGTTGGGGTGCCTAAGGCTCGGTGGGGTTCCACAGCTGTTTGGTATGATCAGCAGGGCTCTCCCTGCCCTGCTGTCCCCCCTGTAACCAGCTGTGCCGCCTTGTCCCCCTGTATGCTCACTGGACCTGTCCCAGCCCATGGAGACGGTTGCTCAGAGACCTTAACCAACAGGGGCACTAACTTATTTTTGTTCAGTTTCCTGGAGTAGCTGACGGCAGGGTCTGATGGACACCCCTGCTGGCATGTGGAAGGGGTGGGCATGTTCAGCTGGGCCAGAAATGCCTCGGTTTGCCCGAGTTTCTGCCCTCTCTCAGCAGTACAATGTGAGAAGTGCCCCAGACACCTCTCGGGATGTTCCAGGTCCTGTGAGGGTTGCGTGACCTTGCAGAGAACCGGGAACCCCTAGTTCAAGCTACCCAGACCTGCATTTTCTGCTATTTGGTCTGCATTACACCCCTCTGGCAGTGCTGACGTCCCCAGCAGAGGTGAGATAACCTGGTTGCCAAAAGTGGCACTGATACTGCTACAAGTGAGGAGACTGGAAATGGGGCGTTCAATGTGAAGAGTTTATTACACCGTGAGCCAATGACAGGATTGAGTCCGCAACTACTGTTGGCCTAATTTCAGTACAGCATGTTTCCATCACATTTTGCAGGGGCAACATGTCTTCCCTTTCCCATTCTTGTCTCTTTTTTTCCCCACATTTAAGCTACTACAGGAATTGGGGTCATTTGCCCTCCCCAAAAATCAGAAGTTTCTCTGGGAGAAGCTGTATCACATTCTTGATTTAGGGCCAGCAGAGCTGTTCTGAAATTTGCAAAGGAGTAGTTTGGGGAGTGCCCTCTGTTTATCTTGTTTCTCTCCAGTAGTGCTGCTTCTTGTGCCCCTTTGCTCCTGTGTGTGCCTTCAGCAGCCAGCTGGCTTTCAGGACCCTGGATCTGCTGCAGTACGTGTCTGTATGACAAAGGGCTTCAGGCTCCCTCGGCTTTGGGTCACAAAGTAATTGACAACTTCCTGAAGGCTTGAGACTGTCACCTGTGTCACCAAAACAAAATGAAACAAAACCCAAGCAAAAGAACCCCACCAAATGAAGCATGCCATGTGTGTTGAGAATACTGCTGTGCTGGAAGGCTGGGCCTCTAGCAATGTTTCTCAAACTACTGATACTGGATTTGCATCCAGTATTTAGATGCAGTGAGGGCTGGGACAGCCTTCTGCAATCTGTGGTCCTGTTCTGCCCTCATAGGTTAACTCGTTTTCTTCCATCAAATGAGTACAAACCAAAGGAGAGATTGCTCTCTGCACCCTTGTGCTCTTCATTGACTGCTGGAGTTCTTTCAGCAGATGGTATAAGAACAGGTGCTTTTTCAAACCAATAGGATGTTTCTCAGGCCAGGAGTTAAACATGTCTCAAAAAAAGTGGAAGAAAGTTGTTTTAAAGCTAATAACAGGGTCCATAAAGCCTTGCTCACACTTCAGCTAAGTTAATTTTTTTCTCAGCTTCATGCAGTGCATGTGGAACTTCCTCTAGCTGCAACGAGAGCTGTTTTCAGACTTAGTACTGAAGCCTGAGTTGAAAAAAATAATAAATTAAGCTATCTTGGGTGTTTTGTGAGTAGTTTCATTTTTATTTTTGTTAGAAGATGCTGGTGTGGGTTTTTTTCCCTACTTTTCTAATTCTTAAAAGATAAATTGTTCTTTGAGGTGAATTCTCTGCATATTTTACTTTGACTCACGAGTTGTTTAGAAAAACTCTAGTAAATTCCTAATTGTCTGCAAAGTGATATTTCTTGCAGCTGCTTAAGATTCTTGAGCAAGAGGAGCGCTCACTTACCCGTCTTTCCAACTCGATAACGTAACTTGCTCCTTTGGCCATCACTCTGTAGTGCTTTAACTGCGGGGCACTGAAAGAAGATGAAAGTTGATGTGCTGCCTGAACAAAATGCTTTTTGATGTATCTTTGTCACTACAAACCCCTTTGCAGGAGCGAGGAGTCTGCTTTGTAATGGCACCAAAACTCACTGAAGGTGTGTGGCAGGGTTTGTTTTTTCCTGTTTTAGTTTGGAAACACTGAGAATTGCAAGTGTCATTCCTGGTGTCTCAGAAGCCACTCATTCTGAAGCTCTACAAAAGCCATACCAGCAATTCAGCTGAAACCTGTGGTGTGTTTTTAGACTAAGTTACTGTTTGAAAATACTTGTCTGTTTTTCTGTTGCCCGTTTTGCAAAGGGGTATGGCTCGTTCCATTTTCATTCTGCGTGATGATTTTTCAAACTGAGTAGGGTTTCATTTACACAGGGAAATGGGCTTTGTGGCCGATCTTTATTCCTTTTTGGTTTAATTTAACTTCTCCTTTAAGGAAGAAACCAAGAGAACCAAGAAATCAGTTTGGGCCCACCCCTGCTGCCTCATTTGCCTTTCTCCAAGTACCCCGAAGGCAAGGCTTATGGTTCACGTGCCAACTCTGGGTATTAAGAATTCAGTTTTCCATGCAGCGCATGCTAGTGAGTCAGGGGTAATCTGTTGTGGACTCAACCTACTCCAGCTGGTGTCGGGCGGTGACTGCGTAATTCCCGCCGCAGCTGCCGGGCCGCAGGATGAGGTTTCCCCAGGAAGGGCTCTGCTCTAACATCTCTGCCGCCTCCTGCCGGGACACCGCGTAGAAGCACCTGCACGGAAGGAAGGAGGGAGCGGCACGGGCGGGAGTTACGCTGGCACGGCTAGGCCGTGAAGAGAGGTGTCTGCTGGGCTAAGCACTCCTCACAGCACTCGGCTTAGCCGGGGTGACTAGCCAGGGCTGCCTGACATCTGAGGGACTCTTGCTGACCAGCACTCCCACAGGAGCGTCATTCAGGACAGCAGTGCTCTGGCCTTCCCGGAGAGCCAGCGAGGCCTTCGTACAGGTATGACTCTTCCTGGACCCTCGGAAAGAGCCTGAGAAGAGTCTCCTGGGCTTACCTTGAATTTCTCAGGAGGGCAGATACTGCAGCCCAGCACGTGGCTTTCTGAAAAGTATTTTTAAGCATAGCAATAAGCTGCACTCAAAGCAAAAGCCATTGTAGGAAAGCTGCAGGAGAAATCTTTTCCTTAGGAAATCTCTATGAAGGCGTTAAGGTAGATTTTGTTCATTGACTGTTATACAATCCTTGTACAACAGCTGAATTTTGAGCCTCTGCATGGAAATAATAATTTGAAAGGAGGAGGGAAGGCTCTTCAGTCAGGTTGGGATTCACACAGCTGAGTCAGAGCTTACGCTGGCATGGCGGCTGGCGTACTGTCGAGAGGGCTTTTTCTGTTCAGGGATGTGCTGGAGCAGTTGTGAAGTGTAATCCTTCTTCTCTTTTCCTTCTCTAGCACCTCATGCATCCTGGTGAGTTGCCCAGGTGGTAACGACTCATCTGCTGGAACTGACAGCTGAAAAGCAAAGTGTAATTGAAAAGAAAACCAAAGAGTGGACAAACATTGTGAGCAGTTGTTTCTGTGTGTGCATTATAGCTCATCTCTCAGCACAGCTGCTCTGCAGGAATACTTTTTCACCTGCTTGGTTTAAGCAGCTGTGATAGTCTGGAAGGTTTGGATGTGCCTCTGCTTTGATTGAAATGCTGCGTGTGTGTTTTTGTTAGAATAACGAAATAAGGATATCGGGGTCCTGACAGAGAAGACAGAATCAGGAATGATGGAAGAATCCATAGTGATATTTTGCAGTTGCTATAGTGTAAATGTACTTTAGCCTATTTCAGTCATCCACAGCTTTTTAAGAGATTCAGCTAGGCCAGTGTAAAGTCACTTGTGAACAAACTTCATTTGTTTTTCCACTGGTCATTACCAAAGAGGTCATTATCTTGTGATTTTCAAAGTTCATTTAGCTAAGAAGAACCGTAGAATAAAACACAGGGCTGAGAAGTTGTTTCAGATGTCACTTTGGCTGCTTGTTTAGTTATGTCTTTATTGCATGATAAAGACCTGGAGAGTTATCTCTCTCAGAGTAAGTTCCCTTTTCCATAGCTGCTAGGGAGGGACTTGTGCTAGAAGTCTGTTCTCTCCTGGAGAGCAAACTGTGTGTGACTATATACCATGTCAGAGTGTGTATTGCAGACAAGTTGGAGTTAAATCAGCCTAAATTTTGCTCTCAGGAAAAAAAAAAAAGGCCAAACAGCATAAACCTTCAACAGTGTAGTGTATGCAAGGCTTTGTGCCTGTAGAAGCCAACTTCTGGCATGCATGAAGACAAAGCCCCCTTAATAGACACTTCTGACATGAAATGAGATACAAAACTCTTCCATACCTTAGTTACGGTGAGAATAAAAGCCTTCCATTCTTTCCAACACTCCCAGTCACTGGCCTGAGAGAACAGAGAGTGACAGTGTAAGGACAGCTACAGCAACAAAAATGAAAGCTTGGTACTTCATGTGGAAGCTTAAATAATCCTCACCCTTTAGAAGGACCATGCTTGGAAATGAGCTCCCTGCCAAGCTACATCCTACCCTGAAGCCCTGCACTTGTCCACGCTCCATGTTCAGTTAGAGAGAGAGGACAGAGGTGGGAAGGTAAAAAATCATGTCCTCTGTTGAAGTAAAAGGAGAAGGCTACGTGGACCGAAGAAGACCATGCTAAGGAGACGGGTCACCCTCAGGTATAAAACTTTCTGTATAGTCCCCAAGCACTACAGTCTGTATGGCTTCTGAATGATGAGGTGGTGCCTGTCGTGGTTTTACAGGTGTCACTGTGGTACTTCCTGGTTTCTCTTGTGTATTTTCTTCAATTCTTTGCTCATTTCACAGTGGCAGATACTTCTGAGGAAAAATTCTAATGTCTCGAGGGGGAGTTTAGGTTCCTTTGCCCTGGCCTCCCTCTCCAACGGCCTTTTGGTGCTGCCTGGCTGCAGGCTGAACCCTTAGATGTCAAGAAGGCAGCTCCACTCCCACACCAAAATGGAGCTCAGGATATCTGTGGGAGACAAAGTACCAAGTGGCTTACGAATCACAGGTTTCCTCTTGTTACCTTCAGTTCTAGTTGCCCATTCGGCAGCATCAGGATGAACTGTGCAGGGCCATTTTCTTCTGGATAAACATTGGTTGCTGAGGTCAATGCTGATATATCTAACTTCTGTGTGTACTAAGGAGGGGGGAAAAGAGAAATATCACAAGTTGTAATTTTCATCAAAAATCTAGTTGCTCTCCAAAGCAATTTGTTTAGAAGGAACATTTTTTTTTGGCTAGAACTTGAGTTATTTAACTGACAGATGTGACAAAGCTCAGTTCTTTGCTTCTGTTTACAGAAGTTCTGACCAATAACATACCTTCTGGATTTTTCCCATCCTAATCTTCATAATCACAAACAGATTAAATCCATGAGATTTCCCTAAGCATTTGCTTTGTCACTCCAAGTAACAGCTAGAGTACACCATAATATTGCCAAGCCCTTTTTCCTCAGCTGCATAAAGGAATGTCATGTTACACACCATGATGTACACACCAGATGTGCCCTTGTGCACATCTGAAGGAAAAACACTTGGTAAAATCAGGGAGCAATATGGATATGTTTGTAGCTTGAGTGCCAAAAAATACTCCTTTTTTTTGTTTTGTTGAGGAAAATCAATATGCTATTGCTTGTTTCAACCTGGCTTTTTTTGATCTCAGCCTTTCTGTTACGAAGTTCAGTACAATTTTTTTGGACTATACAGGTAAGATAAAGGAGGGTGCCAAGAGGTATCTAGAGGACATAAGGATTACATGGTTCAAATAACTGATGCACTTCATCAGATGAGTAGTCACAAAGATAGCACATTACTCACTGCTGGGGCTTTCTTATCATCATAAAAGAAGAGTGTAGTTCCTCTGAGTTCTGTCCAATACACCCTAAAATCCTGCTGGAAAGGAGGAAGTGTCAGTTTGTGAAGATGATAATTTTAGTTTCCACAAAATCCTGAAAGTGAAAGAACTGCTAAGAAAAAATGGTATTGTCATATGTTAGTTTTCAGTGTTTTAAAGCTTGTTAAAGAGCAACTATATATTTTGCAGGCAGTTCATACCGGATTCAGTAAATAATTCCTTACAGGCAAAAAGATATATAGGCTGTAGGTGTTGTTTTCTAGTACCCTACTCTCGCATGGAACTAGAAGACTTTACTTTTTAACTGATTTAAATGTTTTAAGCATTTGTCAGCAAATTGTCGAAAGATTTAAAGGGGTGTATGTATATGTAAATATCTTTTAAATGCAACTGCAAAATCTTGCTCTCCCTAAACAGCATACAAGTGGGAAATAGTGTGAGATGAACATGTATAAAGACTCCAATCTTCTGAACACCGTTCTCTTGAAGTCCTCTATTGCATTGAATTTCAGTCCTGCCATTTTACTTCCTACAGGGAGATGTTCACAGAGCTTGATGGGAGTCTGACCTATTAACTGGAGTTCTTGTATTTGTAGTGGTATTTTATGTGCTTTGTCCTTAAATTATAGGTAGGAGTGTCTGCAAATCAACACCATGCTGAGGTAAATATGATTGTCTGGCTCCTCTAACTCTTCCCTAATGCAGTCATGCCAAAGCGATGGGAAAGGTTTTTCTGCTTTCAGGTGCCCCTGATACCCTGGGAATTATAGTGGGAATGGGACACTGAACTGGGAAGGCAACTTTTGTGGAACAGAAATTCTGTTCTAGTTCTCAGTTTACTTCCAGTTCTCAATTTTGTTTGTTGTTCAGGGATTTTTTTTCTTTTCTTTAAGTAAGGTTTTAAAACAAACACAACTGAGAAAAGAAATAACAGGTTAAGTCTTCTGATAGGTCATACAAATTAGTGTGAGCAACATTTCCTAGAGTATCCTGCAGGAAATCCTTGCTTTTTACCCTACTAGCTTCTAACTAGTCTTTTCTGGTGGTTTCTGTCAAATTACTAGTGTAAAATTTCTATAGGGTTCAGCCTCTGGCCCCAAGCTTCTGAGCACTGCATTGCTGGGGGATGTAAGTCCCTTCAGATTAGCTGCATGTTATTGCTCTGCCCTGTCAGTTTTTGTTATTCCAGTATGGTAGTTACTGAATTTCAGAAGGAGGGATTGTTCAGGGGGGAGAAAACAGTTTTACATAAAAGGATATAAATAAAGGGGGTGTAATGGTGAGCTTTATTAAATGTGCAGGTGTTCTCCTGCTAAATACAACAAAGCAATGAATTGAATTATTTCTAGTGCTGCAGAAGGAGTAATAGTAAGATTATTAGTTGCTTTTTTTTTTTTTTTTTTCCTTGGAGTTCCTGTTTTCTGTGGTTTCTGTTTGTTCCTGTGTTTGCAAACCACCATGCTATTTTGGTCTTTTGATGATAACTCCTTTAGCGCGGCGTGACTCATTTTCTCTACTCTGTGCTTCTGTATCTAGAGAGATGTGCGTGTAGGTAATGTAGAAACGATTTTGTAACCCCAAGTACAGGAATTGCCATTGTCAAGCACTGAAAAAGGGCAATTGGCTGATAAGGGACGTGCTCTGGATATCCATGCTCTTGTAACATACACGAGCACATAGATGTTTGCAGATTTGCGTCTTGAATAGTTATTTTGGGGCAAAAAAAATCACTCTTACTTTCTCAGTTGACATATGTTAAATCATCAGCCCTTAAAAACAAGAAAGAAAAAGATGTAGAGAATCTCACACATGCTTTAGGTGGCATGTCACTGAAGAGGCTGGGATGGATGCTGTTCTCCAGTAAATCGAGGATTGTATCAGAACAATATAACCATGTCAATCTTTGCTCTTGGCATTAAAAATACTGCATTAGTTTTTCACCATGGTGAAATCGGTCAAACTGTGTCCACGTTTCAGTAGGTAATAGTTAATTATTAGTGGCATCCTGATGCTTACCGCACATAATTAACTTTATTTCCCTCCCCTGACGAGTAAAATGAAGAGAAATAACTAGATATCGTTACTTCAGTACAACCATTGGCATCAGCCGGTGCTCAGAAACATTTCCCAGCAACGCCTTTTTGAAGAACTGTTTTGACACCTCCCCCTCCCGGGACTGCACGCCTTACCTGGCAGGTTGAGTGCCGGACAGACAGGTAGCCCTGGAAGTAGAGCGGCAGGCCGGTGATCCTCTGCCTCTCCTGGAAGATCCGCCGAGGGGCTGGCTGAGGAGTTTCCTCAGGCTGTTCCCTAACGCCTCTCAGCATCCTTTGGGTATGTGGGTACCCCTCGTTGCTGCGCTCTTTCACCCCCTCGCCACTCCTGTTGTTCTTGGTCTGTGCCGTGTCAGCCTCAGCCAGAGAACTTGCCCTGGTGAGAGGGGGAGAAGCAGCACCTCGAGGAGGAAGTCTCCGTGCTCGCCTTAGGTCAGCGCCCGCCGCCGACTCTGTGCTGGCTGTATGGTCACGGGGAGAGCCAGACTGGGTGCACTCAAAGGATCTCTTCCTTTAGAATGTGCTCCTCGGCTACGCTCGGAGGGAGATGTTCAAATGATGAGCGTGCTGGTACAAGACTGTGTCCTTGCTGTGCCACCTGCAGGTCATGGTGGAAAACCCTGCTTCTCGTGGCTTACAGCACTGCCCTTTGCACAGGCTGCTGCCAAGGCCAGACTGCTCTCAGATGCCTCTGAAAAAATATTTAATTTTTTCATTGGGAGCGTGCATTAACTTTGAGACTATCAGAATTGAACTTTCTTTAGCAAATGGCTTAGGGGGATTACAGGACACTAAAAGTACTATTGGAAAGCAATTTACCTATGTCTGTTTGTAACTGGCAAGGACAAATCAGCTTTGCAACGTGCATGCAGGAAGATTTTCAGTGTTAAAGAGTTAATGTACCGAAGCCTTTAAAGAAATTGTGAAGGGAGGCGCAGTTCAGTAACAAAATGTTGGTCCTGATGAAATAAGGGGTGAAATTTCCATCAGTTTCACAGAACGGTGATGTTTAATTTCTTTTCTGGCTTCCCCTTAGTGGTTAGAACAGGGATGACAAGACTCGGTGTTTCAATACTGTTGCTACTAAATGCAAAGCAAACAGTACTAAATAATAAGAAAAAAGTATTTTGTTTTGTGTGTGGTTTTTTTTTTTTTTTTTTACATCTTCATGGCCTTTTCTGTTTCCCAGCTGTGTGTTGGTGCAAGCTGAGTATATAAATGGCCAGTAAGGTGATCTGTGATAGACCAGGTAGTCACGAAACAACTCTAGCAGAAGTGGAGTTCAGCCCTTTGTGTGAAAGTAAATTCTACATGACATCCCTAAAAATGGCTGGGGATATGATCATGTTCTCAGATTTTGGCTAAATTGCAGATTGTTGTATGTGTACTTTATTAATTGTGTTTAAATGGTGGAATTTGACTTTGCTATTGAAGGGTGCAGAAAGGCTAATAATGAACATGGGTACTTGCACTTTTGCTTGGGAAGGTTGCTGCTGCCAAGCCAGCACTTCACTGCTTGCCAGTGTGTGATGAAAAATATAATTTAAAATTATGGTTTTGGACGGTCTTTTGCAGGTACTGTGATAGTATGGTGTTGTGAAATATGTTCACTTGATTCGTGTCAAAATAAAATCATATTGGGGCGCCATGGTGAGGTGTGGTTCTGTTGTTCTTTGTATAGCTACGGGCCTGGAGAAAAAGCAAGGTAATTCGTTCTGGTTTCTTGTTTGTTGTCACTTGGCGTGTTGTTGTGCTGGCTTGCATTGAATCTGTTAATGGCCACAATGTTAAACAAAGGGGAGTTTGTAAAGCGCATCCATGGAGCCTGAAATTAAACGGGGAGCCGAGGAAGATTATTGACTGCATCCAACGACCACCAGGTGGGAGCTAAGGCGAACCCAAGAGGTGAAAAGAACATGCTTCCAAGAAGACCTACCTGTTAATGGATATGTGTTAACAGGGACAATAAAAGCCGGAGACAGGGACTGTATGGGGTATGCGTCTTGGTTGAGCAGAGTCTCCCGGTGCACCCAGCACTGTTTGCTTTTGTTCGTTTAATAAATTTTAAATTTGATTGGAATCTGGTTTTGTGCTAAATTATTTCTCACAGTGTTATGTTCTTAAGCAGTTGTTTTTGCTCATTGTCGAGTTCTTCACTAATGCTTCTCCAGGTTGTTTAGTTTGGAGACAAGGAGGCTCAGGGGAGACCTTCTCGCTCTCTGGAGTCCCTGAGAGGAGGCTGTGGCGAGGTGGGGGTTGTTCTCTTCCCCCAGGTGAGAAGAGGAAATGGCCTCAAGATGCATCAGGGGAGGTTTAGGTTGGACATGAGGAAAAATTTCTTTCCTGAAAGGGTTGTAAGGCCCGGGAACAGGCTGCCCGGGGAAGTGGCTGCATGTATTGCGAAGTCGTGTAAACCACGAGGGACATGTTTTAGCGGTGGTGACCTGGCAGTGCTGGGTTAACAGCTGGACTCGATGACCGCGGGGGTCGTCTCCAGGCTAAACGATCCTGGTACTTTGAAGACAAGATCGCGACCCGCTGTGACGACTGGAGCTCTTGGAGGAGTTGAAGCGGGGACGGCA